ACACCCTCCTTAAACGGACCTCTGATTTTAACTTAGGCGTTGGGTCTTAGGATTTAGGACTTAAGGTTAAGGGTAAGGGAAGCCTACGTCCCTCGGTTTGGGATTTGGGGTTCGGGCTTCCGGCTTCGGGGTTGTGTTTGGGCCTTGGGTGTTTTACGTCGGTACAGCTTCACAGACCCGTAGTCAACGTCCTTTAAACCCTGAATTCCAAACCCCATACCATCACCCCGAAACCCAGAACCCCTAAACCCCTCCCAAAGCCTTGACAAGCCACTTTTCACACGGCTCCGACCGATCGCAGGCTGGTTTCCAGCTCAAACTGAGTCCCTCGACCTAGACCGGAAAGTTGCAATTGGTTTTGGTTTTAGGTGAGGGTCGGGGAGCTTCAGCTGGGGGAAGGAGACGCAGCGTATGTATAACTCTGGATTTGCAGGACTGAGTGTTCAGCAGAGATGAGGATCATTTCAAGTTTATTGCGCATAATGACGACATCAGGGTTGTTCCAAGCCGTTTGCTTTTCATGTTGCCCTAGAAAGAAAGAGGATTCAGCGACTGCAACAAGAACCTACAACAATTCCCAGCCATACAACCGAAGACCGTGAGATCCAAAAGCCTCAGCCTTAAACCCCTAGATCCTAAAGTCCTAAACCCTAAAACCCTAGATGCGAAAAGCAAGTGACCAGTAGTAGTTCATGACTTCGGAGGCCGAAGTTGATTTTCTTAGAGCTGGATCAGGGAACTAGGCCCTAGGGTTCCGGGTAAAGCCTCGGGTTTCTGGGTGAGGACGGTTCAGGGTTTCATGGGCTTAACGTTGATATGTTTCGGGTGCGTTTACAAGGGTGTTGGGAGCATCACTCCAGCTTGTAAGGATTCTCAGGTCTTTACATAGATGGGATGAGTTTCAGTTGTTAGATCTTTTCTGTTCAGAATTTTCTTCTTTTGGTTTTGGGGTCCGCCCGAGGCTGCTGCTTGATCGCCTCATCGACCATGCGCGGGGGCAGGCGTCCAAGGAAGAGCTGGAGGAGGCCAGGGTGTGTCTGTGGCTTCGAGTTGGGCTCTTGGACTTTAGTATGGGGGCCTTAGCAATTGGAATAGGTTGTTTGGGTTTCTTTGCTGTCAGATTGTAGAGCGACTGTCGAGCTTTTTTGTTGGGGGTGTGGGGGTCGGGGGAGGAAGTTCAGGGCTTGGGCACACCAAAACGGCTCAGCGTCGCCCCCGCGACAGGTCTCCGTTACCCCCAAAACGCGGAGCAGCCCCTAAATTAGGAATCCCAAGACTTGAAATGGAAGCCTGTAGATCTGAACCCCCCGAGGTCCTAGTTCCGCGCCCTTCGCCCCCAAAACAGTGTATCGCAGCTTCTCACGAACCCAGAGCCTCGGAGGTGAGAAGTCGCCTCAACCCCTGGAACGAGGCGTATAAGTTCGCTCCGCGGCGCCGGAGTGAGGGAGTTTTGGATTCGAGGGTTCGGACGCTGAGCCAAACCTGAAACTGAGCATTCTGAAGCTTCGCCACGGGGGGCTTAGGATTTCGCGCTTGATATGCAGAGAGCCGACCTGGAGGCTCTTCGGGGACCTAGCCCAGACATGGTACCCCTTATACCCGCTTTTGGGGCTCTGCCTCCTATGACGGAGCAGGCTACGAAAAGAGATACCCTTGTTCTAAAGAGGTTGCTGGGGAACGTAGGCTACTTACCCAACTAGGCAGGTCCTCAGAGCCACAGAGAGAGAAGGGAGTTCCCGGTGATCCATGGTAACTTGAGGTGTTCCTACAGACTACAGAGCCCAGGAGACCCCACTGTCAGAATGTAGACAATGTAGACATTGGCAAAACGGCGAAAAGAAGTGCAAGGATGCTGAAAAGAGGTTTCTAAAGGCTTGCGAACCGAAGGGAGTCCTCAACGAGCCTGAAACCCTAATTGCAGCTTAACCTAATTGCAGGCAAGCTCCTGCTATGTCCTTCAGATCTTCTTTCTTTCCTTCATGTAAACAGTAAACGAATCATTGGCGACGCCCAACGCTACTCAGCTCGAAAGGACCAGCCCCCTGCCTCATGCCCCAAGCATAAGACCCGACATCCCAAGCCCCAAACCCAAAGCCAGAAGCCCGAACTCCCGAACCCCAAAACCCAAGCCTCAAGCCTGGAACTTCAAGGACCAGAACGAAACGGCGTTCACAATTCAAAGCACAGGAACAAGCCTAAGTCCCAGCACCCTAAAGCTCCGAGCCCGAAGAAGCCTGAAGCCTTAAAGCCCAAAATTCCTAAACACCCCAATCCCCGAAACCCCTAAAGGCCTAAACCCCTAAACCCTAAAGCTCAGAACAACACCTCAAAGGACCAGACCAAGAATTCGGAGCTCCGCTTCCGGTGGTTGATGCTCGCCCTGGACGCTTTGCTGAAGTTTGGTTATTGTAGTATAGGAGTCTTCTAGGGGTTTGGATGAAGGGTTCAGGGTTTAGGGTTTGCGGCTTAGGTTCCGATCATTGGAGTATACGTTCGCACCTGTAAGGGAGATACTGGCGCAACCGGGGGGCGAGGCGAGGAAGAGGTTGGAGTTGAAATTGGCGCCTGGGTTTGGAGTGTATGTTTTGGGCTGTTTAGGCCTTTCGGCTTTGAGGTTTGGGGTCAAGGCTTTTTGTTCCGGTCGTGGCGCTCGTCGCTGTGGTAAAGTAGTCTTGGTCGTGGTCGTCGTGGTCGTCATGGTCCTCTACGTATCATTGTTCGGGAATCTACGTTGGCATAACTTTCAAGGGCCCCGTTTTAAACCTGAACACTCGGAAAAACAGGGTATGTACAGTTGGCCTTCCGGCGATACTTGGTGTTGCGCTTGGGGTTGCGGCTGTGTTGAGGTCTGCGGCGATGATTCGAGGGTCGACGCCGCGATTGCCATGGCCAAGGAGGCTCGGGGGTTCGCGGAGTTCGAGTTTTAGGGTTGGGGGTTTAGGGCGTAGGCTTGCAGGCTGGGGGAGAGGCTATGAGCTGGGGTCTTCTGGTGGCCATTTTGGTGAAGTCTGCTTGGGATGAGGGCAAGATAGTAGCGGCTTTTGGAGTGTGCGGTTCGCCGGTTCGCGTTCAGGTTCTAGGTTCTTCAAGAAACATGTCTGCGTTTGCAATGAGCTGCTTAGTCTTGCGAGGTTGAAGTGGCGTATCTTCAAGACTTGAGCAGCCTTTGATAGTAGTATAACAGTATAATGGCATAATATCCTATGTTCTGGCATGTTAGAGTCTCTTGTAGTATGTTATAGTCTGAGGTGGGCCGCATGAAGTTCACGCGGCCGCTGTACCGGGAGCTGTGCCCTCGCAGCACAGGAGAGGAGGAGCCATCAGTTGACACTCTTCGGTTTGGGGTTTAGGGTTTAGGGTTCAGGGTTTTTGGTTCAGGGTCCCCCGAAACTTCAGATCCAGCACGACAGGCAGACTGATGTTTTGTAAACCGTCCAGAGATCCTCTTTTTCCAGTCTCCCTGAATGTTGACCGGATTATCATGCGGGATTCTTGTTCCAACTTGTTTCTCGTCACTAGAGACTGCTTTTTACAAGTCGCGCAACTTCTCGTCATTGCACAGGTCTTCTTTGTTGTGCATGCAGTGTCCAGAGTGGGCTGGCACGGACCTTGGAACTTCAGGAACTTCCTGTTCGGGGGGCACTAATCTGGGTTGCTGTTAAGGAACTTAAGTTAAGGTGCCATAATGGGAATACGTACATAGTAAATCATGGGGCTTCCTTACCACAGTAGCGTAATATTTTAATATCCTTAACATAACCCCAGTAGTTGAGGAGATAAGCACCATCCTGGTCATGCCTGAAGACATGCCAGAAGGTCCAAGCCCCGCCAAGGGCCAAGTCCCATTGTTTGAACCCTCATAGGCTCCTTTCAACTCCGACATGAATCCTCAACCCAAAACCCTCAACCCTAAACCCTAAAATGAATCCGAGGGCGAAGAAGGCGAGCCGCCGGGAAAAGGCCAAAGAAGCATTCGCTGCGGCCAGGGCCACCTACCATCCGCCGCTGGGCTGCACATCGAGGCTTGAGGCTTTGGTGTTTGGGGTTGCCGTAAGGGTTTGTGGAAGGGTAACTAACAGGAGAGCTGATAATACATCTGAAGGGCTTTAGATGTATTGGAGGGCCTAGTTTAGGGCTTGGGCTTTGCTTTTTAGGAGTTAGGATTCACGATACCGGGTGCTGGGAGCTGTTGGGGCCCAGATACCTGGAGTGAAAGTTTGTTGCTTGGTGGTTTTGGGGCGAGTGTGGAAGAGCCTAGACAGCATAAGCAGTATCTGGCTCTCCAGAAGGTTTGTCTCCTTAAGCCTTGATATGTATACTTGAAAGGCCAATCCCCAAAGCCGAAGCCCTAAAACCGCAAAGACCGAGCCCCTCAACCCTGAACCCTAGTCACCCTGATGGCCGAACCCCAAATCCTAAGCCGAAAACCCGTAAACCGAACACCCAAAACCCATAAACCCTAAACCCCTGTACCCTAAGCTCTAAACTCCTAAACCCTAAGCCCTAAAGGCCCTAGAGGCCCTGATCTTCTGAGGATCACTGCGAAGATGGTGGCGCAAGACCTCGCCAAGGCGGATGCTCAGAGCTGAGTGGCGACCTGGCGCAGGCCGGGTCTTCGTGGCTTGGGGTTTGAGGGGTTTAGCGTTTAGGGTTTTAGGAGTTTAGGGTTTCGGGTTTAGGGTTTGGAGTTGTGGGTTTATGGTTGCCCTGGTTGAGGATTCAGGGCGTGTAGGGTTCAGGCTTCAGGCTTTGGGTCTTTCGGTGTAGGGTGTGTCTTGGGCGACCAGGCGGCATATGGATTTAGATTTAGATCTCCAGCTGAGCACTTCTGGCGCGACGTACGGTGAGTCTCGCCCCCTGCAAATTTCCAAATGTTGTATTGCAAAGGGAAGAGCATTGTATTGGGTGCTTTGCTTGCTGTGAGGATGTTGCTCGGAGCTTCAGAGTTTAATGGCGGCCCCTCACGGCCCGAGGATGAATGAGGGAAGAGGTGTAGAGCCATGGACGAGGTTCGTCCTTGCAGGTGTTTCCTTGGAATTGGCATTGACGAGTATTCGGAAGACTCCCTTCAGAACGCAGTTCGATCGTCGCTCTGCATAAGCGGAGCGTTTCAAAGGCTGGGGTATCACGTCACCCACGGCTCCAACATCCGAAGTCGGATCGACTGGAACGAGAAAGTGAAGGAGCTGACGGAGAATGTCGACTGCACGACCTCTGTCGTTGCGTTCTACTTCGCAGGGCATGGGGTTGTGACTAAGGACAAGACCCTGCGACTCCTGTTCGGGGACTCATCGCACGGCATCGTTAAGCAAAGCGACCAGGGCAGCACGGCTTCAAATGATGACGTGAGCATCTCAATGGACGACCTGATCAAGCAGTTGATGCACCTGCCAATGGCCGATGATGCCTTCCTGCTCGTTCTCCTGGACAATTGTCGCACAGAGACCAGCACAAGTTGGCACGAGAACTGTGGCAGGCCAGCTCAGCACAAGTTCAGCCGGAGCTTCACAGTAATCTATGCCACGGCTCCTGGCAAGTGGGCCCTTGACGGCAACGGCTCTCAGATCAGCCCTTTGTCCTACAGCCTGCAGCGGCGACTGCCGGAATCACAGTCGCTGGCTGCAACCTACAACCTCATTGTCAACGACGTGAAGTCTTACGCGAAGAATCTAAGGAACATGAGCCAGATAGTGCAGACCTTCACATGTGGAAAGTCTGATGAGGGGGTTTTTCAACCAATTCCTGGCCCGGGAATGTCAATGTCTTCCAGCACCGTGTTGCCACTAGGCTCAGATGAAGCCTCCGTGGATTCGACAACACTGCAACCGCCGACAAAGCGCTGGTGCTGCAAAGTCTTGACGGCTTTCACCTTGCTGATCCTTGCAATCTTTCTCGGGGTGTGCCTCTTAATGTCAAGCCTTCAGCCTCGCGACTGCATCCTCAACGAGTGGACGGATGACGGTCCTTGTAGCAAATCCTGTGGTGGAGGGCTGCTGGTCCAGCGGCGGTCGGTGAAAGCTGCTGCGGCTCACGGTGGGCGTTGCCGCAGGCTTAGTTTGCAGATTTGGACACGATTGCATGCCGCATTGCACTGCACGCCTTTAGCGAACAACTACAGCCTGCAGTTGTGTCCCACCGACTCTAGAAATTCATCCTAGTTTTGATGTAGTCCCATCAAACAGGTGGGCTTCAAAACTAAAGCATCAGTAGGACGGCTGGACACTGCACTTGGCCCATAAACAACAGCCGTCGGAGTGTGCAGCTCAGGTCCTGACCCCTCCAGCCCTGAGAGGCAGCAGCAAGTTCCATGTGCAGTCTTAGCATGCCCCTGGGATTGCTGCTTCGACGACTACTGCCCTGTCCAGTGTGACTTGCGGTGCAGCTCATGGACGTGCGAGGCCTTGGTAAACATGACGGTGTGTTCATTCGGCTGGGGGTATTCCTCAATTACAGCAGATGCCACGATTGTAGGTCGGTCTTTTACTTGGACAGTCTTCAACTATGCCGTTCATCGCTCTGGTATCAGCTTGCATGATCATGGCTTTGACAAGACTTTCGTGCACCGCTTGAACTTCTCCTTTGAGTCTCCAACACATGTGGCGTTTTGTCGATGCCTGGGAGACTACGCAAGGTCCATCCTGAACAAACGGATGATGACCAATTGTGAAGAAGCTAGTGAAGACAATTCGAGCCGGCTCATGCACTCCGTCAACGAGCTGTTCCATATGTAAGAACTTCCTTGTCAGTCCACACAGACAACAGCATACAACGACATGTGACATGAGTCACCAAGCCGCTGGCGCTTGCACCAATGATACTTCAATCAGTCCATACACATTAAAATACCTTACGCCTGAGGTCCTTATTGACCTGAGACCTCCATTTTACAGTGTAAGAGGCTATATCATATGAATAACATTATTAAGTATCATATGGTATTATAGTGTGCCACATCTCCACCTTTATAGACTGAAGCCAGCTGCGCAGTGCACCTGGGCTTCAGACTTGACCGCATTGGGCCTGCTGAGGCGGAAAGATCTCGGATGGATTTTTTGCTATGGTTTTTTGCTCGTTCCGATCCCTCTCGGCGGGTCTGTTCGCCTTGGAAGTTACAAGCAGTCCCTGTATCGCAATCCATGAAGCCGACCGGGAGTTGGGGCGGTGTAAGGAGGGACTCGCAAAGAGGAGGGGTCTTTGCAGGCATCAAGGCTCTCATAGTCTTTGTGCATGGCGGGAAGGACAGGTTCGGTTTACGTGATGGTGTTTGGATGTTCACCTAGAGCCCTCAAACCCCAAAAGCCCAAAACCTAAAGCCGTAATATGCCATAACAATCCTCTTTGAAGCCAAAAGCCCACGCAAAACAGCAACCAAACTCCGAAAGCTCAACATTGTTCCTCCGGGTTCCCTACAAATACAAGCTCCCAAAATCTTAGTCTGATTATGTGGCCCCAATACCAATCGCTTCTGGTAGCCCTTCTTGTGGAACCCTCATTGAGACCTTTAAGGATCCCGGTAACAGGAGCCCTGTTCTAATGATGAAAGCACCAGGACCATGAGCTTCCGGGACCTCATGGAGCTGACCGGTGGGTGAAAAGAAGCGGCGACAGAAAGGGGAGCTTGGGATTTTGGGTTTATGAGGCTTTCAGGAGTTTGGGGCGTTATGCTTTGATTCTTGGGCCCTGGCTTGTTTAGGGGTTTTGAGGTCTCGGCAGCTCTATGTAGGAGAGCAGTATGCTTCATAGGCAAAAGGATTTGCAGGGCATGGCATAGCCTGGCATGGCATGGGATGCTGTACGGAACCTCTGGGACACTATGGTATTGCACGTATGCGTGTATCCAAGTGTGTTTGTATGGCCAAATGATTGTAAATTTATATCTAGGTAAAGAGCGATGTATGATGGGGCCACATGCATATATATATATAGTTTTTTTTGTATATGTGTATGTCTATACATGTATGATTATGTATACATACATGCCTACATACATCCATGCACGCGCACATGTGTATGCTGGCAGTCGCAGAGCCACCCTCACTTACGCCTCCTACGCCGGCTTCTTCGGGCTCAGTTCCGAAATGTTGAGCCCACCCGGGCCCGCGCCAAGGGTTTCCTGGCCTGACAACTACCTCAGGGTTTCAGTTTAGGGTTTTGAGTTCAGGACCCACGGCTTCCGGGGTCAGGGAAAGACTGGAGCTAGTTTGTTTCTGCCGCTTGAGATCTTCGGGGGCCACTCGTCTTTCCAAAGTCGTCTGTTCCTTTCGGATGGCTCCAAGCTTCAATTAGCCTGTAGTCGATAAGTCCGATAAGTCTTGATCCCCAAAAAGTCATCAAATCGACGCACACACACACAGACATGTACGAGGCCTCGAGCCATAGACTACCGCTTTCCGATCCCTCGCAGTGCGCATGGGTAGGCTTGCTTGTAGGGTCCTTGAACGACCAACCCTAACCTGAAGCACTAACACACATGATAATCCTCCTTTGAAACGTTGATCCCCAAACTCTGAGACTGAAAGGGCGAAAGCGTATCCCGCATGACTCCTCCCCATCAAACCCCGACACCCCAAAGCTAAAACCCCCGAACCCGATATCCCCCAAATCCTAAACCCTAAACCCAAAACCCGAGATTCCCCCCAATTCCTCAGGTGCGCCATGGACGCGTCTTTCAGTGCTCATCTCGACCAGCTGATCGGGCGGCTGAAGCTCGAGCCTCGCCTGCAAGCTTTGGGGTTTTAGGGATTCGGGGTTTTGGGGTTAGGGTTTAGGGTTTAGGGTAGGGGTGTTTCGGATTTGGGATTGTGGGGGTAGGGGGGTTTAGGACTTTTGCCAAGTGCTGCGGACTGTTTCGCTGCAGATGGGTTGGTTTCTAGACCAAGGTGGTTCATGCGGGTTAGTAATTTCCCCGAGTTTAGAGTCTGTCTATAGAACTTGCCTTATAGCACTTGTAGAGTACCCCGCCCCGTCATAGTAGCCTAGTAACCCTCCAGGAAGTTGTGCAGCACTACGAGCGGGATTGTGCTTCCATTAAAGCCAGCATCGCCGAGAAGCAGGAGGCTTCATGGGGACGGTGTTTCGGGTTCAGGGTCCACGGTCATGATGCTTCTGATTTAGGGTTTAGGATCCAGGGGGTTGGGATTTGGGCCTTAATTAGGACCCATGGGGTTGGGGTTTAGGGGTTGTTCGGGCTGTTTGCGACAAGAATTCAGGTGTGAAAGTTTCGGCAGCCACGGTGCTAATAGGGTCGGGGAGGGGGGCTCAGGGATGGGCTGAAAGAGTCTTCCGTGCATGGGCCGCTTCAGTCGTCTGCCGTGTTTTGTCTCTCTTTCTCCCTCTCTCTCTTTCTCCCTCTCTCTCTCTCTCCCCCTATCTCTCTCTGCCTCGCTCCTTCTTCTGTATGTTTCATCAAGTTTGGTTCAAGCCATGCACTTGGAGTCGCTCTTCCTAGCCTGGGACGCCGGAGCATCCTGTGTACTGTAGCCTCGCAATCTCACAGCCGAAACAACGATTCTGGGGTTATATGTCGATAACATACTATTTTGGGGTTTCTTATAGCTATCGTGTAATATGCCCCGAAACCCTATTCTAATTATTGAGGCCCCTATATTACTCTGTCCAGGATGTCGTATGGAAAACAAAGTGGCTGTTGCATGTCTACCGCTAGAACTACTGCCATCGCACACGCACCCTCGTGCTTTGCCACACATATACCAAGTATATTTATATATACACTGTATATGTACTCATCTACGCATACCGGAAAGACGTTGGCATAGAAGGAAATTATCAATGTCGATGCCTTTTTCTTTTATCTGTCTCTTTTTCTACGTAAGATGATCCCCTAAAACTCTACACCATCATCCACAAGACGCTTTCGGGAACAGGCGGCGTTATCACCCGTTGCGAGACCGCAGTTCTTGCGGCTGACGGCTGGGAAAAAGGTGCCCGGCTTCGAGTCCAACGAGGTGCGGTCCGGGGTTAAGGGTTTAGGGTTTAGGATTTAGGGTTTAGGGTTTAGGATTTGGGGTTTAGGGTTTAGGATGTGGGGTTTAGGGATTAGGATTTGGGGTTGAGGGTTTAGGGTTTATGATTTGGGGCTTGGGGACTTAAGGCTTACGGAGAATCACTGCTGTGCTTGGAGGACCATGAGATTCTTTTGAGAGTCGGGTCGGGTTGAGCTTTCGGGTTTGGCCCTTGGAGGTTCATGCTGACTTTTTTCTTATAAGTAGCGAAACCGTCGTTTAGAAAACCTGGGAGCCCAATTTTTCAACACTTGTAGTGTTTGTATTCTCGTTCATCTGTATCTAGAAAGTTAGTTGAACTTTGTGTTTCCCATACATGGGGTGTGCAGGGTTCCCGGGTCTCTGGTTCGAGTATGACTTGATCCCCTCAGCTGAGGTTTTGGGCTTGAGTGTTTAAGGGGTTTAGGGTTTAGGGTTTGGGAGTATATTATGCTATAGTTCTAATTAGGTTAGTATAGGGGCCTTAGTAGCTAGATTTATTGTTTAGTATGGATTGAAGATTTGGACTTCAGGTTTGAGTCACTCCCAAGCGAGATCTACCCTGGCTCGAATGGGCGGGTCCTTTCGTCAGAGGGTGGCGGTGTGAATATTGTGGTCGCGCCTTGCGAACTCCTGATGTGATTGCTGTACTTCTGTTGATGAAATCCTGCATTACCTTAAGGACCCTAGACTATAGGGAATTATGGCATATTCCTTATTGTGGGTAATGCAGGATTTATATCATCGACCGTTCCTCCGATCCAGAGCCCCACTCTGAACTCGAACTTCCAAAACACTAACCTAAGGCTCTACTCGCCCTGAATCCCTGAGAGCAGCTAGCCTATGAACTGGGCAGCCTCAAGTCTGAACCTTCCTGAGACACCGCTCAAAACCCACGCCCGTAAACCCTAAACCCTAAACTCTAAACTCCTAAACCCCTAAACCCTTAACCCTAAACTCCTAAACTCCTAAACTCCTAAACTCCTAAACCCCAAACCCCTAAACCTTAAGCCCCTTCAATCCTGGACGCGCTCGAAGGTTTTTTTCGGCAAGTCGCCTTATTCTCCGCACAATTGGAGACCCACGGCGGCGGACTCGGACTCCAGCGAGGAGTTCGATTCCTGGTGAAACTGTCGAGATTCCAGGATAATGGTTTAGGGTTTAGGGATTAGGGTGTAGGCTTTAGGGTTTCGGGTTTAGGGATTAGGGTGTAGGCTTTAGGGTTTAGGGTTTAGGGATTAGGGTGCAGGCTTTAGGGTTTAGGGTTTAGGGATTAGGGTGTAGGCTTTAGGGTTTAGGGTTCAGGGTTTAGGGACTATGGATTAGGGTGTAGTTTAGGGTGCAGGCTATGAGGTTTCAGGTATAGGGTTCAAGGTTCAGGACTCGGGGTTTGGGGTGTAGTATGCTTAAACCTGAAGGGACACGAGCGGACCAAGGAACCCCACAGCAAGATCCACCGGCGGTTGGCTTCGAAATCTGCTGCTTCGGATGTGGACGTATCCGATCGAGCTCCTTAGCTGTCAGTCGTCGTCCGCTGCCTCCCCTTGCCAAGCAGAACCCTATTGCCTACCCCCTGAACCCCATGAACCCTAAGCCCTAAGCCCTAAAAAGCAGAAACAGAACCCGGAAACCCGAAGCTCGAAGGTCCTGAAGCCCTTTTGCCCTGACTACTTCCGCCCTGAAATCGCCCAAGCGACGCCCAGGAGACCGTAACGTCGACGGATTCTTTGGAGCTGAAAACGCCCAAGGGGCCCTATCACCCACCGCACCTGCCGGACTGCTTGGGGATTCTCAAAATCTCGAAATGCTTAATTCCGTCAAAAATCCATCACCCAACCATAGGGTCTGCCTGAGGAAAAAGGCGCGAAAGGCGAAATGAACCTTAATGACGGGTGTGGCTGAATCCAAGCCCTGGACCCTGAACCCAAAGCCCTACTAAACCTTGCAGCTCGAAGCCTGCTCAACTCCCAGACACTCCCACAGCCACTGAAAGTGTTGCAGGCCCTGAAGCCCTAAACCCTGAAAAGCCCCTAGCAAAGCCCCTTAGGCCCCTTAGGCCCCTAAACCCCTAAACTTACTAAACCCGAAGCCGCCTACAGCAGGACGCATTCCATCCAAAGATCCCTGCGGCCACCCCGGCGGCGCTCTTCGAGGCGAAGGTCGTGCTCCAAGCGTTTGATAAGAAGGGTTTAGGGTTTAGGGTTTGGGCTTTTAGGGGTTTAGGGGTTAGGGTTTAGGGTTTGGGCCTATAGGGGCTTAGGGTTAGGGTTCAGGGTTTGGGGTTTTAGGGGCTTAGGGTTAGGATTCAGGGTTTGGGGTTTTAGGGCTTTAGGGGTTTAGGCGGTTTAGGGGTTTAGGGTTGTGGGGTTTAGGAGTTTAGGATGTGGGGTTGTGGGGTTTATTTAAGTTTTGGATGAAGGTGCTGCAGCGGTTTTAAGGGAACCGGTAGGGCTCGTGTGTCGGGCGTTGGGGGTCACTGGGATGTTCCGAAACCAGAGAATTTCCGGGGGCAGCCGATGCTGGAGGATTGCCCCGTAGAACGCCCCGTCCAATCCCGACATCCGAGACTCGAAACCTGAATCCCCAAACCCGAACCTACCGCCAGGGACACCGCGCAATACTAACCCTCCAGATCCTTAAGCCCTAAAACCCCTTAAGCCCCAAGCCCCCCACCCTAAACCTCATAAACCTCATAAACCCTAAACCCTAAAACCCCCCAACCATAAACTCAGAACCAAGAGACACAGCCGAAATCATGCGGAAGAGGCGCCTGCTCCTGAGAAGGAGCTGCCGGAGGTGAAGGCGCACGAGAGTCGAAACGTGGGCTTAGGGTTTCGGGGTCAGGTCTTGGGGTTTGTAGGGCTTAGGGTTTAGGGGTTTAGGGGTTTAGGGCTTAGGGTTTAGGGCTTAGGGTTTAGGGTTGCTTAATGCTTGAAGGGTTCAGGTTGTAAAGGGTTTAGGGCATGGTTGTGGATCGGCCGTCTGGGATTCAGGTTTGGGTGTTTGTGCCGGAGATCCAGAGATCCCCTGCCTCAAGCCTGAGTTAGGGTTTGGGGTGGAGGGGCTCCAGAACAAAATTCTGAAGTCTTGAAGCACCCGGAATTTCACTCAAAAGTCCGAAGGCCCTGCATGGGTGCTCAGCCCAACATGTTCTCAGCTTACAAAGGCAGGAAATCCTAAGCCCAAAGCCACAAAGGACTTTGAACCTGAAGCCCCAACCCAGTCGGAGACCAAGTTAAGGTCGGGCTTAGGGTATAACAGGTATGGGCCGCGAGCCCTGGTCCAAGGAAGCTAGAGTTGGAATCTTCGAACCCCTAAGCTTGAAACATCGAAGGAACCCCCGAAAAGCAGTCTCCAATACAGGGAATGCATAGTACAGTAGTATACTATAAATGTTTTCTGGAGCCCCCAAAACACTATCGTTTGAATCATCCAGGCAATCTCGGACCGTAAGATCCCGAACGGCTGCAGTCCCATAAACTCCGAACCCGAAGCTCCAAGCAGGCCCTAAGCTGGCCTGGAGAAGCCGCCACCAACCCAAAGAGCCCCACGCCCTACACTCCTAAACTTCAGCCCGAAACCATAAAAAACCCGAAACCCTAAAACTTGAAAGCAGACCTGAAACCCGAAACCCCAAATCCTCGAACCCTTGAGCCCTCATGCCACGGCCCCGCTGAAGACGCAGGAATCCCCCGACTCCGATTCGGAGGAGTTGGCCGCTCGCCAGTGCACCTTTCAGGTCTTTGTGCTGAGCTGAGGGTTTTAGTTTCCACAAGGGTGTTCTCAAAAGGTTTGGGGTTTACAGGGTTTAGGAGGTTTACGATGAGGGCTTTTACTTGAGGTTCTACACGGGAGGGCAGTTCTACAAGGGTTCTACACAGGGTTCGAGACCGGTTTTTATGCCAGAACTGTAGAGAGGTTCCAGTGAGGAGTTCGTTATCCGACCTGAAGGTATACGTCCAGTTTGCTGTTGGAGAGTCTTAGGCTTTGGGTTTAGCGTTTACGAGCTTCTCGGTTCTCACGCCATTGCACCAGTTTTGCTGGTTCTGGCATGGCCGCGTTTGGAGTGGATGGCCCGAGTTCAACCGGTAAGTATCCGGCAGAAGCACAGGAGCTCGTAGATCACCGACGCCTAGCAGCTAGGCCCCAGCTAGCAGACCAACATGGCAATCTGCCCAGAGAGCATCGAGGAATTCTTGCATCTCGTCCCGAATCTGCTCGAAGATGAAGGGTGGCAGATTTGCCATGAATGTCCCGCTGGCAAGCTCTTGAAACAAAGTTGTCCATGGGGTGGGCATCTGGTGAAGTTGTCCTGCCAGAATATCCCGGTGACTGGGTTCTTGTCGAGGAACTTAGTTTTCATTATAAGTTACCGTCATATAAAAGGAAACTGTATTAGTTCCTCCAGATCCCTATTGTGGTAACCTGAGTTACAGTCCTTAACAAGAACCCAGGTGAGCAACCTTGGAGAAAGGTCTCCGCTCTTCGTGCGCCCCGAGGCTCGGAACCGGATGCTACCCGAGCTGAACGAGGAGCGCTATGAGGTCGTGACTGGGTTCTGTTTACGATAACGTTTCCATTGTAGGGATCTATGGTAAATCATAGGGTTTCCTTGCTTTCATGGCTTAATGAAGATCCTTAACAAGAGCGCAGGTGAAGCAACTTGGAGCTGGCGAGGCTTTGATCATGCGAAATGGGGACGTGTACACACGTTTCTTCAAGCTCTGCAACGTGTTCTTCTCTTTGAAGCACAAGGACGATGCTAGCCTGGCTTTCTTGTTCCCTACGGGAAACGAAATTGTGCACAACGTTGTTCGGCACAACTATGTGGAGATCGGCGACAGTGTCCTATTTGGACGAAACCATACCCGCACCTATACTGGCTTCGCTCATGCCCGGAGGCAAAAGGAGCCAGGCCTTGTGTCGATCTCCCTGACGCTGACAGCGCGAACTGTGGCCAATTGGGTTTCGGTGCCTTTCCAAAGCGTGATCACCTCGGCCAGGGCTTTGATGGACTGGTATGTAAATCGCCCTGGCATGGAGGAGATGAGGCGATTGGATGAGCAGTTCTATGTGGTCCTTACCATACACAGCTGGCCAAGGGGGCGGCCGTTTCTGCCAGTTTTAGACACCGCCGAGGACATCGAGGACGTGACGACCATCGATGCAGGCCGAAGACAAGGGCTGGCCTCTTGGGGCCGCTACCATCCACGCATGGTTGGAAGCAGCAGCTTCGCTCTCTCGGAGTATCTGATGCTCTTCTTGCAAAAACTTGGTGAGCACGTCGACATGTACCAGTCCCTGGAGGGGAAGGAGTTGCAGCACTACCAGTGCGTAGTTCCGCAGCATGAATGGCAGCGGGTGAAGGATCGCTTCTACACTGCTTACAATTTGCAGAAGTCGGCGTATCGCCGCGCGAACGGGGGTCAAGCGGCACCAGGCATGAGTGAGCACGCGGAGCCCCGCTTTCGCACAGACCGGGGCCTCCGTCTGCCGCAGCTGTACAGGCCGGTGCTGACCCCTAGAGCTCCAGCCCTGGTGGTCCACAACACATTCTTGGAGTTGGAAGAGCCGGAGGACTTGGGAACTGGTGACTTCGAGAGGACTCGGTCGAGGTCGGCCTCACCGCGCTCCTTTCACAACAAGCTGGTCCTGGCGATCTAGAGAGCCTAGATTAGGCTTTGGATGTGTCGTCAGGTGGCCGATGGTCGGTGCCGTTTTCAATCCGATTGCAATATTTCCATCTAGATGCCGTTGCTCGGAACACCGCGACCCCCGGAACAGTAAATACTGTTTGGGCACCACGTGTTCTCGCATGCAACACTCCTCAAACTGGCAGTCAGTGTATAGGTGTTGTTGCGAAGAAGAGGCGATGTGTCCTGGCCTAAAGCCGGACGCATTGCTTGTAAAGGAGCCTTACTTCACAGCGGCAGACGAAAGCCCTGAGGGAAACAACAACGATGCCTCATGTCCTGAACTGCTTGCGGCCAAGACATGCCGAGTACTCAGTTTATGCCCAGAGAGGCTTCCGATATTAAAGGGCACAGCGTGCAAGCAGCAATGGATCTTGATAACGGCAGAGCGGCTCATGTGGATAACCCGTGGCAGCCTGTCCCAAGATCACTTCTGTCCGGGTCATGTCCGGAGGGCCGTACGCTAAGAAAGCTTCAGATTGGTTCAGATGGGCGCCACAGTGCAGAATATCACAAGCTTCAAGCCGTATACGTCACCCTAGGCGCCGTGGCCTCCTTGATGTTGAGGCCAACCCGACTTCTCCACCCCCGGCGCCTGCGGACTTTGCTTTGCCGGCCACACCGCGGCAGGGTCGCAGAAAGGGTTGAGGATATTGAGTGCCTAGTCATTCGATCGGCTTTAGGGTTTAGGGTTTAGGGTTGAGGATTTTGAGCTGCTACGAGAACCAGGAATGTCCATTGGCGGATTCTCGTCAGAGTCCTTCTTGCTCGGCTGAATGCGGCGATTCCACGTCGAACCGTCGAGCCCCGAGCCCTTTGCCCCGGATGGGTCGCAAAGCCGGAAGCCTAAAACAACCACCTTCCCTCCACCAGCCCTATCGTCGGCGTAGTTATGATGATGCCGCTGCTGATGATCATGATGATTGTTACCATTCTCACTGCTGTTCATGTGCATCCCAACTCAGAGCCCAGGGAGACATCGCCCCCTGTCGTGGCTACATTGCGATCGCAGGCGAAACCGATGTTTTGGAGGAGTACTGCAGGGTTTTGGAGGATATAATGAATGGAGGGACGGGAAATGGAATATGACTAACTTTCTACTGCTATTCATGCCGGTGCATTAGAAGCTGAGGCGTTGCCTGTGAAGCCAACCCATGCCTAGGCTTTGCTTTCCTTTCAACAGATAGCAGAGCTTTTAACGCGTTTGGTGTTGCTGGCGACATGAAGAGATGGCAGACGCTCACCTATCAAACCCTCAGCCCTAAACCCCTAAACCCTAAACCCGAAAGGGATCATGTTCAGTTGGTTTCTCTACTGTGTGGTGCTCAGGGCTCAGAGTTTAGGGTCGCTAACCTGTCCTTTCCAGCTGCTTGTCACTTCTGAACATGCGGCTTTCTTTCAACTTCCTTGCTGTGTACCAGTCAAGAATCGCTACCGAAGGTGTACCGGGGGTGGGCTCGCGCCAGTTGTGGGGTTGCGAAGCTCTCCGCTCACCGCAAAATAGGGGTTTGTAATAGTATCCCCTCCTAGTCCCGATCACCTGTGCCCCAAACTCTATTCTAGTTATGAAAGCCCCTCTACTAGTCTCAAAACCTGACCAGAATCCAACGCAAACCCCCTTGCAAAACCCCCAAACCTCCCACAGCCCCGCCAAACATCCAAACCGAACACCCTTCAAAGCCTCAAGCCTAAAACCTAAACCCTCAACCCTACTACATCACTAGGATTAAAGTTTCGTCGCACTTGGCTACACCATCTTGCGGAGGACGCGGAGTACTTACAAGTGCATTTTACATGGCCTGGCTAGCGGAGGAATTAATCCACCGGAACAAAATTATACTACTATGATGTTCCGG